CGAGATATAAAGTCAGAGTTGCGAGATATAAAGTCAATAATTGTGAGATATAAAGTCAGAATTGTGAGATATAAAGTCAGAGTTGCGAGATATAAAGTCAGAATTGTGAGATATAAAGTCAGAATTGTGAGATATAAAGTCAGAGTTGCGAGATATAAAGTCAGAATTGTGAGATATAAAGTCAGAATTGTGAGATATAAAGTCAGAGTTGCGAGATATAAAGTCAGAATTGTGAGATATAAAGTCAGAATTGTGAGATATAAAGTCAGAGTTGCGAGATATAAAGTCAGAATTGTGAGATATAAAGTCAGAATTGTGAGATATAAAGTCAGAGTTGCGAGATATAAAGTCAGAGTTGCGTGATATAAAGTCAATAATTGCGAGATATAAAGTCAGAATTGTGAGATATAAAGTCAGAGTTGCGAGATATAAAGTCAGAGTTGCGTGATATAAAGTGAGAGTTGCGAGATATAAAGTCAGAATTGTGAGATATAAAGTCAGAATTGTGAGATATAAAGTCAGAGTTGTGAGATATAAAATCAGAATTGTGAGATATAAAGTCAGAATTGTGAGATATAAAGTCAGAATTGTGAGATATAAAGTCAGAGTTGCGAGATATAAAGTCAATAATTGCGAGATATAAAGTCAGAGTTGCGAGATATAAAGTCAGAATTGTGAGATATAAAGTCAGAATTGTGAGATATAAAGTCAGAGTTGCGAGATATAAAGTCAGAATTGTGAGATATAAAGTCAGAATTGTGAGATATAAAGTCAGAGTTGCGAGATATAAAGTCAGAGTTGCGTGATATAAAGTCAGAGTTGCGAGATATAAAGTCAGAGTTGCGTGATATAAAGTCAATAATTGCGAGATATAAAGTCAGAATTGTGAGATATAAAGTCAGAATTGTGAGATATAAAGTCAGAGTTGCGAGATATAAAGTCAGAGTTGCGTGATATAAAGTCAGAGTTGCGAGATATAAAGTCAGAGTTGCGTGATATAAAGTCAATAATTGCGAGATATAAAGTCAGAATTGTGAGATATAAAGTCAGAATTGTGAGATATAAAGTCAGAATTGTGAGATATAAAGTCAGAGTTGCGAGATATAAAGTCAGAGTTGCGTGATATAAAGTCAATAATTGCGAGATATAAAGTCAGAATTGTGAGATATAAAGTCAGAATTGTGAGATATAAAGTCAGAATTGTGAGATATAAAGTCAGAGTTGCGAGATATAAAGTCAGAGTTGCGTGATATAAAGTCAGAGTTGCGAGATATAAAGTCAGAGTTGCGAGATATAAAGTCAGAGTTGCGAGATATAAAGTCAGAGTTGCGAGATATAAAGTCAGAGTTGCGTGATATAAAGTCAGAGTTGCGAGATATAAAGTCAGAGTTGCGAGATATAAAGTCAGAGTTGCGAGATATAAAGTCAGAGTTGCGTGATATAAAGTCAGAGTTGCGAGATATAAAGTCAGAGTTGCGAGATATAAAGTCAGAGTTGCGTGATATAAAGTCAGAATTGTGAGATATAAAGTCAGAATTGCGAGATATAAAGTCAGAGTTGCGTGATATAAAGTCAATAATTGCGAGATATAAAGTCAGAGTTGTGTGATATAAAGTCAGAATTGTGAAATTGGCGTATTTCCATTGGGCGCAATTTGAAGGGTAATGGAAACGCGGCTAGTGAGACGCAAACACAAATGCTCTCATATGACACTTTCTGTCTATAGACTGACCCATCCCACAGCTTAAAGGGACAGTTGACCCAAAAATGAAAGTTCTGTCATCCCTTAATTCTTTCCAAAACCATATGGCCCAATATGACCAATACACTGTATAAATCTGTTGTACTCTAAAAGAGCCGTGTGAACATTCTTCAAAATGTTTCCTTTAGTTTGAAGAAAATAAAGGTCCTACATGAAGGTGAGTAGCCTATATAATTTCATCTCTTACTGACAAATACATTCATCACAATTCTGACACAACAGGAGAACATTTTTTAAATTTAAAGTTTACATTTAAATCTACCTAATTAAAAATCATGCAGGATTTTATAAGATACCATTAAAAAGTCCAGTCTTTAAATCCACTGGTTTCTCGCAGTAAACAGAGATATTTCCCAAGCTCACACAGAGCGTGAAATGACACAATAAAAACCATGATATAAAGCTCTTTTGCAAAAGCTGAAGATGAATGAAGCTTCAAAAATCACACTAGGTCCTTTAAATGATCCATTGAAGATCAGCTGAGAGTGCCAGCACACACGCACAAATGGCAACGGATGTTTAAGAATATTAATGAAGATGAAGCAGTATACCAGGGGTGGCGAACGCCGGTCCTGCAGAGTTTAGCTCCAACCAGAAGCTTCCTGGTAACCCTTCGGACTTTGGCTGTGTTCGAAATCGACCCTAAACCCTCGTTCACTATTTCCTACATTACTCCACTAATATAGTCCACTTGAAAGAGTGAATGAAAACAAGTGAGTGAATTTGGAAGGGCTTCCACATTTGCGTAGTTTGTGCTTGCTGTTTAATTTCAAACTGGCAGCTCTAGTAGTAATGGAAAAATGTATCCTGAACTCTGCTCTGGAAACTAGCATGTATAAACAGTAAATACCTGTATGATATTACACTGGATTTTCAGCTGTAGTGCATTATGGGTTTCCTTTAGCTGTTGAGCGCACATCAGTTGTACACTCATTATTGCAGTGCATTGTGGGATTGAATGAGTGCACTCGGTAACGTCCACTATTGTTTCGGACACCCTATTCAAGGGTGTAGGGGGCGATTTCAGACACAGCCCTTGATTAGCTTGTTGAGCTGTGTTTGATTAGGGTTGAAGCAAAACTCTGCATGACCGTGGCTCTCCAGGACCGATGTTCACCACTCTTGCTCTATATGCAGAGTTTAGCTCCAATCCTAATCAAACACACCTGATCCAGCTAATCATGGCTTTAAGGATTACCAGGAAATAAGAGGCAGGTGTGTTGGAGCTGGTTGACCTAAAGTCTGCAGGAGCGAGGATGGGTACCGCTGCTCCACACCAGGGGTTCTCAACTCTGGTCCTCAAAATCCACTTTCCTGCAGAGTTTAGCAAAATCACCTGCCTATGACTTTGCCTATGATTTTCTTTGTTCAGGTGTGTTTGATTAACTCTGCGGGAAAGTGGACCTTGAGGGCCAGAATTGAGAAGGTTGCTACACATAAATGTATAAAAAAGGGGTGAGATTCACTTTCCTGCAGAGTTTAGCTCCAACCCTAATTAAACACACTCAAACAAGCCAATCAAGTTCTTCATGATCACAAGGATTCTACAGGCAGGTGCGTTTGGTCAGGGTTGGTGCTAAACTCTGCCGGACAAGAATTGCCCACCCCTGTTCTAAACGCACAACAATCATTTCAAATGTAGGATCCGAGATCTACGTCCTAACGTTATTAAAAAGCCTAAATGGTCAAAAGGAATGATTTATAAAGAGTGTTCCTCATAAAGGCGAGGCATGAAGGCCCCATAAACTGTTCTCCCTCAAACTCTTTCAAATAACAGCCTCACCATTAACAACCCCAAAATGGCAGGGTGGGATGATGAGTCGACGTTGCTGTCAGAGCCTCAGTTTAACTTCCTCTATCCCAAACATCTAAATGGTCGACAGGAAAGTTGCTCCTGGACCAACAAGGATGTGGATCCAGGAACACATCTTGCTTGGCAAAATCACGGTCACATTTACCTCTTATGGCTGCTTGCATTTTCCAACCCAAAGATCCTGAAGTTACTCCAGGGAGTGACCACATCACTCTTGAGTTTCTGAAATATTCCAGATTAGTTCTGCATCAGAACCGAGTAATTTTTAACTTGGCACAACAACAGTCCCCTCTTGCTCAATAAAGAGGCTGGATAAAATCACTTTTGCCTCAAGAAAGGGAAGAGTATCCACCTTGTCACACAGCTAAGGCCATCTCAGGTTACAGGAAAAGAAAACTCAGTGTGGCATGGCCGAGAAGCACACCGCAATGCTAGCATGCTAGCAATTAAACACTTGCATCCCTTCCTCATCGCTAAGGTTCACACACCCTCCTTCATCATCAAGATCATCTAGCTGCAAGCTCTCAAAGGAGAACTTGTTTCTGCGGAGGGGGGACGAACTACGGGCGGCTTGGTTTTCGAACCCTAGTGATTGGCTGCAGGAGCCAGTAGTCTCCGCCTCCTCAGAGTCGCTAGTATCTGTGCCACTACTGGTGGAGCCATCAATCATCTGCACAACCCCGAAGCGTCGGTGCGGGGAACTTAGCTTGAGATTGGCCTTGCCGGGAGGCGTGAGCCCATTGGCCAGCATTCGGCGCTCCAACATGGCAATTCTCTCAGAACGGGAGAGAACGGGAGTGTCTCTTGGCTGATTCAAGACACGCGTGTTTCTTTCTAACTGGCTAACAGTGTTCTGGGACTTGTTTGCACAACGATTCATAATTGGGGAGCAGCTACTAAAAAGTCCACCTCTTTCCTCCCGTCCTGCTTTTGAACTAAAGCTCCACCCGGTGTGTCCATTATGCTGGGTGTGGCTCAGTGAGCCAGTCCTGTGAATTGAGGAGGGGGCGGGGCTAGAGGTCAGGCTCCTGGTGCCTGTGTGGTGGTTTTTTGCAGCCAACTCTTCCATTAGTGTGCTATGAAGCGGCCCATGTACCCTGCCTCCAAAAAATGATGACTCAAAAATGTTAGCACATTGATTTGGAGAGGAGGGGCTGGGGTAGCTGTGGGCGGGGCTTTCGGCTTGGCTTACAGGGGAAAGAGGCGGAGACTCTTTATGCCTGAACTTGCCTAAGTATCTGTCCTGCTTATGTGTCCGGTGCGAACCAAACCCTGTGCCATAAGCGCCGTCACTGTTGCCATCACGTGTGTGTGAGTGTGACCTGCTGACCCGACCTCTGACTTCCTGTTCACTAAACTCTGCATCACTGCAGTCAATGTAAGGAATGGATGAGCTGCTGCCTTTAGCTGCGCGGGACGCCAGACCTGCTCGATCGACGGGGGGCTGCTTAGCCGCCTGACTTCTGCTGTCCTCTTGAACGGCGTACGTTTGGTCGCTGCATCCGTTGCGCTGAGTCGAAGGGGAGGAGTTTCCACATGGTCTTAATACCGCAGAGTCTTCAGAGCTTACTAAAAATGAGACATCCCTGACAGCCTGAGAGAGGAAGAGACAAAGATAAGAGTCTTCCATAAGTGCCTAAATATTTCAGGTTCTGGGAAATCCACAAAGTAATCAACTTTTCATTTACATGAATGCACTTTCAAAGGAAGTCTAGCATTCCAGAGGGTGTAGAGGCAGAAATGTGAAGCTTGTTCATGAATTATTTAAGTTTATCATTCGATCTATAGAGTTTTTTTAAACAGGGTGAAACTACTTAAAGTCCACCGTTTTGCTGGGCAATTTTTACACTGTTGTCAAGGGTTGTATTTCAGTCCGTGGGTTGAAGCAACTGCTCTGATTTTTTCCCGCCCAAAATGCAACTTTTACTGAGGAACCCCTCGGGATGCGATTGGGCTAGTTTTGGCCACATTTTTTTTAATAGAAATTGGCCTGACTTTGTTACTCACACCTTGCAACCCTGATACCAACTACTTGTCAAGACGGTTTATGCCAAAATTTCTGGTTATGGGTGGAGTTTGCTCTATGTGAATAGTTACATCATGCCCCTTTCTTGCATCCTTGCCAAGGGGGGATTATAAACTGCACCAGTGGGATCATTGCCCTGCGGCCTTCAAAGCTTCAGACCCTGCAGTTGGATGACAGGCCCTTCATCTTGTATGATTTGTGTATTTAAGTACCGTTACCACAATGGTGTTAGAGCAGGGGTGTCCAATACTGCTCCTGGAGGGCCAGTGTCCTGCAGAGTTCAGCTCCAACCCCAATTGAACACACCTGAACCAGCTAACCAAGGTCGTACTAGGCATACTAGAAACTTCCAGGCAGGTGTGTTAAGGCAGGTTGGAGCTAAACTTTTTGGAGACTCTGAAAACTCTCCAAGTTTCGAGTCTGAAACTCTCCAAGACTGTCTCAAGTCTGAAACTCTCCAAGACCGAGTTTGGACACCCCTGTGTTAGACTCTTCACTGCCATCTATTGACATGGACCAAACAGATGCAAGGTGGGCTTCACTACTCTGGATTTTCTCCATCATCAAATCTTTCCGCAATTTGTATGCTCTACCAATGTTTACACTTGTTTTTTGCCTTTCATGGTCTTTCTGTCTCCTGGCTTTAGACCTTTTCTAAAAGTGGCCAGTACCATACATAATTAAAACCCTAACCCTAACTTTATCTCATATGAGAACAACTTTTTTAAATTAGCACCAAACTACTGAATGCACCTTTGTATCTCCATCTATCCATCCATTTCTAAATACATTTCTGTGGTAACTGACATTATGCATCAAATGCTTTATAGTGAGTTTAAGCTGTATTGACACCAAAACATTAATTAAAAACGTCACTCTTAATTGATAATGCCTTGAAAACTTTAATATGTGATGACACTAACTTGATTTGGCACTTGGACCTGTGCAGAACGCAGAGGTGACAGGCTGCTGTTGCATTGCACTTTACTATGTTTCCTGAAAGAGAAAACAACAAACACACACACACACACACACAATGAACCGCAAAGCCTTTCAAGTTTACACTAAATACATCTTCAAGAAACAGTAGTGCTGAATCTCTGACTTTACATTCATTAAAAGAACATATCAGACTCACCTATCAAATGGCAGTTTTTTAAACTCATTTTCCTTCACATAATCGATCACCTGCTTCTGTGTCCGACCGCTGCAGAGAAGAGGGGGTAATTAGTCTCACTGCATAAGATGACGCGTTCCCAAAAGTAGCCAATTAGCTCCCTGTTTTTCAGAATTAAAGAGGGTATACTTTCAAAGTATTCCAAAATTAGAAAAGAGTAGCTGTAAAAAGAAAATTATTGGTACAGACCAACATTTGTTTTGTTTTTTGCTGTTGTTTTTCAGCACATTTCTGCGCAAATTGTTATTTGAATGTTACTACTCATTTATCATAAGTGTCTTAAAGATACAGAAGAAGAAAAACAGTGTGTTTAATTATAGAGAGGGCAGAGAGAAGGTAGAAATGGTCAAGAAAAAATTACCAAAAAAAAAAAAAATACCTTAAATAAACAAAGTTGCACAAATCAATATTACACTTTAAAAAAGAAATATCACTTTAGCATACTTTTAAAAACAGTGCTTATTAAGGAAATAATATATTTTAAAATAGAGACTTAACTGCATGATAATTGCAATTAAATGAAAATGTATTATAATTTAAAATTGATATTTAATGCAACTAGCTGAACATTAGAGTGTTTTACTTAATTACATCTTATATATAATTTCATAACTACTTTCAATTGTTTCATAATTATTTCTATAAATTAAAAATAAAAGTTTTAATGTGACATTATAACCGTGTTTTTAAGTTTGTTAAGAAATATATTTAAAACTGAAAAGTTGCATTTAAAAGAAGTACACTTAAGTGGCCTTTTATTTCATTAAAGTCTCCCTGTAGTCAATAATTGTTTGCCTTAAAACTCATCTTTGATCACCAATATGACACATATAAAAGTTTTTTCCTTGAAAAGAAATATTCACGGGTTAAGATATCTCGAATGTAACTCGACACTCTTGCCTCATTTAGTATACGTGGTTTTATGAATATGCAAATGAGCCCCGCCTCCACTCACTCACTCAGCTCAGAGATCCACTGGTTGATCTGATTGGTTACAAGGTCATTTGTGACGTCAGAAACACCAGCGATTTCACACACACATTGAAGTACACTGAAAGTGCACATTCAACTCTATTAAGTGCACTTCTTTTTCACAATTAAGGATTCACACTATATATATGTTCCACCAGATGTAGTACCTGAACCTGAAGGAAGAGCCCCTACTGAACAGCACCGGTTTGGGTTTGGGTCTGGGCTCCTCAAAGAGCCTGAAGAACGCGTGATACTCCACACAGATCTTCCAAAACATTTTACAGCAGTCCCGACTCGCCATCAAAAACTCCAGAGTGTCTTGATGAACATTCTCCTACAGGACGAGACACATAACGAATGGACATTATAAAATAATACGACACATTCGTATCAAAACAGTGATGTCCAGCCATAACCACACAGAAGGGAGACTCACGCTAGGGTCTGCTCTTAACTTGATCAGGAACCTCCTTCTCTTGAAGCTCAGCTTGCGTATTTTAGACCAGTTGAAGTGGTTGATCCTGGTGTGCCCCTGAGAAAAGCACAACTTGTGTCATGGAAAGCCCTCTGTTGCTCATCAATGTGTGTGTGAGAGTGTGTGATTGCATGTACCTGAAACACAAGGACACCTCCGTGTGCTACAGCCAGACTGAGTTTGGTTCCTTCTCTGTCTTTTGCAGGATGAAGTCGGATACCGTACATCTCTAACCTGCACGCCACCTCCAGCAGACGGTAATCGGACTCTGCTGGACTCTGCCCACTTAAACACACACACACACACACACACACAGTTATAACACGGCCTGGTGTTTGTTTGTTTTTTGCCCCTAATATGCTTTTGGGGATATTCCTTTTCACGTAAAATTCTGCAAAGTTTCAAAGATCAAAGTGCAGATACAATGAGTTTTTGTCTCTCAAAAGCCCGCCTGAAACGAGTCGCCAGTAATTCCAGTCTCTCTTCCCGCTGAATCTACGTACGTTTGTAACACATTTGCATAATGCCAGTCTATGATCTTCATTGGCTGCTGGTGAATATTATCTACTTTGACCCTCAAACACTGTGGTTTATCGGAGACTGGAAGAGTTTGGTTCGTGTTGTTCATGTCGAGAAGACGCTGTTCTCTGCCGCCAAAGCAAATCGACCAATCACAACAGACTGGGCCATCTGACCAATCAGAGCAGAGACCAATCACAACATATCTGATTGGTTAGATGGTCTGCTCTGATTGTTCAGATGGTCTACTCTGATTGGCCAGATGGTCTACTCTGATTGGTCAGATGGTCTGCTCTGATTGTTCAGATGGTCTACTCTGATTGGCCAGATGGTCTACTCTGATTGGCCAGATGGTCTACTCTGATTGGCCAGATGGTCTACTCTGCTCTGATTGGTCAGATGGTCTACTCTGATTGGTCAGATGGTCTACTCTGATTGGTCAGATGGTCTACTCTGATTGGTTAGACGGTCTACTCTGATTGGTCAGATGGTCTACTCTACTCTGATTGGTCAGATGGTCTACTCTGCTCTGATTGGCCAGATGGTCTACTCTGATTGGTCAGATGGTCTACTCTGATTGGTCAGATGGTCTACTCTGATTGGTCAGATGGTCTACTCTGATTGGCCAGATGGTCTACTCTGATTGGTCAGATGGTCTACTCTGATTGGCCAGATGGTCTACTCTGATTGGTCAGATGGTCTACTCTGATTGGCCAGATGGTCTACTCTGATTGGTCAGATGGTCTACTCTGATTGGTCAGATGGTCTACTCTGATTGGCCAGATGGTCTACTCTGATTGGTCAGATGGTCTACTCTGATTGGTCAGATGGTCTACTCTGCTCTGATTGGTCAGATGGTCTACTCTGCTTTGATTGGTCAGATGGTCTACTCTGCTCTGATTGGTCAGATGGTCTACTCTGCTCTGACTGGTTAGATGGCCCAGTCTGTTGTGATTGGTTTGCTCTTCACTGCGTCATCTGACCAATCAGAACAAAGGAGGCTCTCAGAAAGGAGCGGTTTAGAGAGACAGAACCATTTAATTAACCCTTATTTCAGACATTGTGAGAAAAGAGCTGATGCTGCAATGGAAATTAACAGAAATGTGGATGCATGTAAACCTATTGTAGGAGAGCTAATTAGAAACCTTTAAGGGTGTATTCACACTTGTTGTTCGGTTGGCGTGGTTCATTTGGTCCGGACCAAAAAAAACCCCAACAACATTTATTCCTGGTCCGCATTCAGATTGGCAATTTTATCACCGACCCTAAAGATATTGAACTTGAAGTCATAGGGATGTTCACAACCTGATTGGTCGGTTTTTATGACGTAATGCCTATTTTAAGCCAAAACATACTGAACATCAACGCAATGCTGTGAGCTGGGATAAATGCGCTCGTTGTGTGTGCGTAGCCTTTTGACCAGCTCGTGAAGAGCTTGGCCAGACAGCAACAGTGTCGGCCCAGATCCGGACCACATCCGGTACATGTGGATTCAACATGTGGGCCGAATCTGGTACGACACATTTTCTGTCTGGGTATAAAAAGTGCAAATGAGTCAAAACAGCAGCAGGAACCCTTCCGTCACACACACACAGATCTACCGTGAGGATACGCGGTTCTGATGCCTGTACCGAACTGTGATGGGCAACATCTCGACTACAACAAGAAGATCCGGGTATGCTTGAGCAATCTGTCCCTTTTTCCGGTTTTTGTTTCGTTTACATGTGTTTGGTCTGTGTTGCGTTTATATTTCAGTCAAACCGCATTAGAGTTTGTTTGGAAGCGAACTGAGATCCATCTTTTCAGTGGTCTCGGTCCACTTCACCAGGATTCCTATGGCAGCGTTCACACTTTTTCTAACAGAGCAAACACACCAGGGTTCATTTTAATCCAACCGCACATGCCAAGTGTGAACACACCCTAAAATAGCATAACTTCAAAACGTTAGTTTACCCAAAAGAGAGAATTGTGTAATCGTGTATAATGTCACAGCAACCTCTACTAAACGTCCTCTGAACATCCGACATATATTGGCATATTTCAATCTACAATCTACAAATGACATCTTCCAGATGGAAATGCACGATCGCATCAAATAGATCGGTGATCTGTGTGTTTGTGTGGAGACTCACGTGTGTTTATGGTGGAACTCCATGATTTTGTCCATCAGGGCCATCTGGTCAGGGATGTAGTTGGTGTTTAGTAGATGCTGTCTGCACTGAGGTTCCTCAAAATCTCCAATCTCAGCTAAATCACACACACACACACATGTTCACTATGAGTAACTGACTGACAGAGACAGTGAGAGGGATATAAAAGGTACAGGAAAATATTAAGAAGCAAACGTGTCCATGGTTCTGTTGGATCACATGCATTCGTTCCCCTAATAGCACTTTACATGAATAAGGAACAAATAGAGTGCCGAAGTGATGACATCACTTTGTAGGACAACTCAGAAGCTAGCGACGCATAGGTTCCCTCAATCGAAAACCAATGCATTTTCCCCATAGACTTTTGGAAAACTGCAAAAAATAAGAGTTGTGACCCCTACACGTTTTGTCTATCAAGATAATCTTTACAAGTTAATCCAAAATTGACACATTTTGAAGCCTGTATAGTTTTTAAAAATACAAGCAAACACAATAAAGCAGGTTATAACTGTGTGCTATGTCATAGATGAAAACGTGAAAATATTTAGAGGCTTTGTTCACCACAGAGCTTATTTCAGGCGATTTAGCAAAAACCCATTCAAAAATCCCATAGACTTTAGAGCGAGGGAACCAGGAGTGCTAAATGATAACTCACTTCCGCGTTTTGGCCTACAGAGTGACGTCATAACCGAACTGCAAGACGCATAGCAACTGGACGCATTAATCCAGAACTCAACGGTTGTGCCGTCACAGGTGTGTGAATATGAGCTAGTTTACATCTTTCAGTCTGGCTCATCCAATCAGAACGAGCGATCTATTGGAGTGAAGGCTATAGCTAGTTAAAGGAGTAGTTCACTTTTAAAAAAACTTTTGCTGATAATTCACTCACCCCCATGTCATCCGAGATGTCCACGTCTTTCGTTCTTCAGTCGAAAGGAAATTAAGGTTTTTGATGAAAACATTCCAGGATTTTCTCCATATAATGGACTTCAATGGGGTCAATTCAATTCAATTCAGTGCAAACTGTTCAAAGGGCTTTAAACAATTTCAGACGATGAATAAGGGTCTTATCAAGCGAAACTTAAAACGTTTGTGACTCTCCTGTTCAAACTCGTTCATCAAAATGAATCTTTTCCCGAAGTCAATTCGTTCATTTCGTTCGTTGAATGAATCAAATGACTCGAAAAAGATTTGTTTGTGTTGATGAACGAGTTCGAACAGGAGAGTCACGAACGTGCATCACAGAAGAGAGCAAGGCGAGCATTTGTGCTTATAAAACTTAAACTTTGCTATTTATTTATTAAATGAGCGATCGTTTCGCTAGATAAGACCCTTATTCATCGTCTGGAATCGTTTAAAGCCCTTTGAACAATTTGCAGTTTGTACTGAAACTGTCTTTTGGACCTTGAACTGTTTGGACCCCATTGAAGTCCATTATATGGAGAAAATCCTGGAATGTTTTCATCAAAAACCTTAATTTCTTTTAGACTGAAGAAAGGAAGACATGGACATCTTGGATGACATGGGGGTGAGTAAATTATCAGCAAAAGTTTTTTTTTTTTTTTTAAAGTGAACTACTTCTTTAAGGCAGCATCACACACTCTCACAGATGAACATCGGCCGGCATAACTCACACTGGATGATGTGGGACACCAGAAGAGCCGCGCTGGCGTCGCTACAGGTGAGCCGTCCACTGGCCAGATCCTGCCTGACCTGCAGCGCAAACAAGTACCTGAGAGAGAACAGGCAAATAAACACACACACGCCAGAGACACGCGAGCGCCGACACACACACACACACACACACACACACACTGAGCGACGACGGCTCACCTGCTCAGATCCTCCAGCAGCAGAGAGGGATCAGGCGGGAAGAACTTCACAACAAACCGGAGGACGCTGTGCTTGGGCCCTGGACACACACACACACACACACGAGCAAAGCCTTGCATGAATGTGTTACTCTCAAAAGCAGAGACTGGTATGTTTTGTGGAAACCTCAAGGAGATACCACACACACACACTCTCACACACGAACGCACACACACACACTCAGCAGTGAGGCCTCTTACGTGTGATCTGCTTTCTAATGGGCTTTAGTAAATCCAGCCAGACCTGTGGAGTAAAGCACACAGCAGAGATGAGTGTGACGGTCACACACATCTTTATAGGCCTCACACAACACAACCTTCACACACATTCACGTATGATGCATTAACTATATGTCCTGCTCAGCACACTGATGTGGACGACACTCACCGTTCTCCTGTGACGGCTCTGGAACTCCAGGCCAAAGTAATCGCCCTCAACAAGGTTCAGATGCAGGCAGACCATCTCCAACAGAACCCGCCCAGATGAGCGGTGCTGTTGACAACACACACACACACACACACACACACGCGCTTTCAGAAAAGTCCAAGTTAGAAACAAACAGGCCAAATCTCAATTTGTTCTGAATCTCAAGTTCTGCAAAAGAGCTTTAATGACATTTAAGACTGTTTTAATCATCATTCAGGCATCTTTCGGTATAAACCATGAACATACCCGACCCTCTTTTAGTGATCTAAGCGATCAAGTGCACTTAGTGCCCGAATCCACTTTTGCTAGTGACCCTATTCTCTTAATGATAATTGGTGTTTTGGGATTTACATGCTTTAAACCAATCAGAGTCTCATCTCCCATCAGTGTTGTGCACTCGAGACTCGGAGTCGGTCTCGAGTCCATATTTTAATGGACTCGGTCTTGTCATGGACTCGTGTGCATTTTGACTCGGAATTGACTCGTACTCGAACATATTGGGAGTCGGGACTCGGACTTATTCCCAAGTCCACTCGAGTCCCATTCAAAATATGTCATGATTATTACTGGATGTTAATATTTCTTTAAATTGTTGTTTGATTGAAATGTCCAATGATTGCTGACTTTCTTGTGCACAACTGCGCAAGACTTGAGACTATAATGTTCACGGCACGCAAATGCAGCAAGACTCAGGTCAGATGTGAGTTGGAGCCTCTAGCTCAACTATGTATTAAAAATGTCTGCCTTATCATCCATAATTCAGTTTGCATATAAGAGCCACACAGAATTCGTGTGCAGTAATGTTTTGTGAAAGAGCACTTACTGATTGTAATAATTGTATGTAATCTAATAAAATTACCTTTACACCACTATGTGGCCTTTTTACCATTACAGTGTACATGATTCCATGGTATATTTGGTTTACTGTTTGAGTATGGTGCCATTTTTATTGTTACTACCAAATATTTTACATATTCTTGAAGATATCTTTAAGTCTGGTTTGAGACCCAACCTTAGGTTATCTAACCTCTCTGGTCTCGGTCTCGACTCGGACTCGACTCTCTTTGGCCTCGGTCTCGACTCGGACTCGACTGTCTTTGGTCTCGGTCTCGACTCGGACTCGACTGTCTTTGGTCTCGGTCTCGACTTGGACTCGACTGTCTTTGGTCTCGGTCTCGACTCGGACTCGACTGTCTTTGGTCTCGGTCTCGACTCGGACTCGACTGTCTTTGGTCTCGGTCTCGACTTGGACTCGACTGTCTTTGGTCTCGGTCTCGACTCGGACTCGACTGTCTTTGGTCTCGGTCTCGACTCGGACTCGACTGTCTTTGGTCTCGGTCTCGACTTGGACTCGACTGTCTTTGGTCTCGGTCTCGACTCGGACTCGACTGTCTTTGGTCTCGGTCTCGACTCGGACTCGACTGTCTTTGGTCTCGGTCTTGACTTGGACTCGACTGTCTTTGGTCTCGGTCTCGACTCGGACTCGACTGTCTTTGGTCTCGGTCTCAACTCGGACTCGACTCTCTTTGGCCTCGGTCTCGACTCGGACTCGACTGTCTTTGGTCTCGGTCTCGACTCGGACTCGACTGTCTTTGGTCTCGGTCTCGACTTGGACTCGACTGTCTTTGGTCTCGGTCTCGACTCGGACTCGACTGTCTTTGGTCTCGGTCTCGACTCGGACTCGACTGTCTTTGGTCTCGGTCTCGACTTGGACTCGACTGTCTTTGGTCTCGGTCTCGACTTGGACTCGACTGTCTTTGGTCTCGACTCGGACTCGACTGTCTTTGGTCTCGGTCTCTACTTGGACTCGACTGTCTTTGGTCTCGGTCTCGACTCGGACTCGACTGTCTTTGGTCTCGGTCTCGACTCGGACTCGACTCTCTTTGGTCTCGGTCTCGACTCGGACTCGACTGTCTTTGGTCTCGGTCTCGACTCGGACTCGACTGTCTTTGGTCTCGGACTCGAATCTCTTTGGTCTCGGTCTCGACTCGGACTCGACTCTCTTTGGTCTCGGTCTCGACTCGGTTTTGACTCTCTTTGGTTTCGGTCTCGACTCGGACTCGACTCTCTTTGATCTCGGTCTCGACTCGGACTTGAGTGAGGTGGTCTCGACTACAACACTGTCTCCCATTCCCTTTAAAGGCCAGTTGCGCTCACGCCATTCCACCATTTCTTTATAAACGATAATAATATTTTACATTGTAATCCTTTAGGGCAGAACTAAAGGAGAAATAAACACCAACCTCCCTGCTAAACGGCGGTTACAATCATTGTTATTAAGGACAGAAACTCTAATTGGAATCTATGCCGTCCTGCAACAGCCCAGACAATACACTTCACTGACATCATCACCACCACTGCCCCGCCCCCTTCTGAGGAAACTCAAGTCTGAGCAAAGATCTGCACCAGTGACATGAGATCTGGAATATTCCATCCTGGTGAACATTCCATCCGGTTCCCATGGAAGATTGAACGGTTGCCATGGTTATCATAACCGGGGGTGGGTGGGGGGTGGGGGGGGGGATTATTAACTCATCATCTCACTGCACAGACACACATCATAAAGACAGAGAGAGAGAGAGAGAGAGAGAGAGAGAGAGAGAGAAGTCATAAACAGAGAAAAGGGCCTCAAGGGAAAGAACATAAAGGAAATCTGAACAGAATAGAGCAAGAGGGAGGCAAACAAATGGATACTTCTTAAATAGGTGGCTGTCATTATTCATATCCCTATGCACATGCACGCACAAACATGCACAAGAAAAAACAATAAAAATAATATCAATAATGAAAATATTTGGCAAGTAATGTTATTATCCATTAGTTGTCTGTGCTCTCATATCATCTGAAGAGAAACACTGTGAATGGTGTATATTTATAAAAATAAAAGCCACATATCACCCCAATGTTGATTTCATGGGGCCTTTAAAACTTTTTAGTCACGATGTTAACTTGGCATACTGTTTAAAGGACATAATTGACCAAGATACTTTCAAAACAGTAATACACACATTCGTTTGTCTAACTCTCCCTCTCTGTCTCTCTTTGTCTCTTGCAATACAAACAGAACTGACCCATTATATCTAGTTAACATGAGCCAAGTCAATTACTGAGAGGTCATGAGATAACAGAGGAGGGTGAAAATGCCACAGGCGCGTGTGTGTGTGTGTAGTCTATTCATTAACTCAGCCCAGCAGAAACTGGTGTTCAGTCGGTGGAAAATCAACCTGAAACATTCAGCCCATTTGGTTTGCAAGATCTGAGAGATTTACAGACACAGAAACAGCAAATGGTGTGTCACTGCGCTATTGTGTCAGGAGGGCTGATTGTTTTTAACTTACTTGCGTCTGCCTTAAAGGGTTAGTTCACCCAAAAATGAAAATTAAGTCATTAATTACTCACCCCCATGCTGTACCAACCCCGTAAGACCTTCGTTCATCTTCGGAACACAAATAAAGATATTTTTGATTGAATCTGAGGGCTGGATGACTCTTCCATAGACAGCCTGAGGGACTGCCTCTTGACGGCCCAGAAAGTCATTAAAAGAAAAGGTTTAAATATTCCATGTGCCTACAGTGGCTCAACTATAACTTTATCAAGCGACGAGACTACTTTTTGTGCGAAAAAAAACGTAAATAACGACTTTATTCGACTTTCCATTACTTCAGGAGCTAAGCACTTATAATACACAAAAGATAACAGGAGCAAAATAAATGACTAACGATACTATGACTAGAGAAGGGAGCTAGAATAAGCACTAAATAATAAACAAAAATAAGAAACTAAAAAAAGAATTAAAAATAAAAATAACTAAAAAAAAAAAAAGCAACTAGCAGTGAACTCATGGAAAAAGAAACTAATGCCTGGTTCAGGTTACACCATTTTAGCCCGATTTTGGCACGATCCGTTTGACGTAGGGTGTCGTGGGGATTCGTAAATGACAATGGCCATCGGGACGCAAGATTCGATTGTATCATCTCGTATAGTGTGTCATAGTGGGCGACAACCTACGTCGCGTCTGCGATGCTTCACGACATCACGACAAAAAGACTAGCACGTTTAATTTTTAACGGTCGTCCATGACGGTTCCGTCACATGTATGAGTTTGACCAATAGGAGCACAGAAGCTTTTCCATAAAAGGGCAATAACAGGCAGAATGAGATGCTCTGGAATGGCCTCTATGGCCAGATCAGGAACAGTTACTGTGGAATAAGCCGTGCTGATTTGAACGCCCACCTTGGACATGACACGACATGAAAATGATTCAGGTTGTACAGTCACAGTTTTTCTTTACCAATGTAGACCCAGCTGGTGACGTGGGCGGCTTAGGAGTTGGTTTCACCAAACAAAATGCTTCTGGAACCACTGGATACGGGACCAACTGTGTTAGGTTCCTTTGGACCTCTGGAATAAGGGCCTCCTGATTCGGGCCCTCCTGATGCAATGAAGTTGGGGCCTCCTGACTCTGGCCTACCTGGATCAATGCACTTTGGACCTCCTGAATTGGGCCCTCTTGGACCACTGGACAAAGGGGCCGCCTGATTTTGGGCCCTTGTGGGCCAATGGGCTTGGGGCCTTCTGACTCGGGCCCTCCTGAGCCCCTGGACTAGGGGCCTCCAGGACCAATGGGCTTGGGGCCTCCTGACTCTGGCCTACCTGGATCAATGCACTTTGGACCTCCTGAATTGGGCCCTCTTGGACCACTGGACAAAGGGGCCACCTGATTTTGGGCCCTCGTGGGCCAATGGGCTTGAGGCCTCCTGACTCTGGCATACCTGGATCAATGCACTTTGGACCTCCTGAATTGGGCCCTCTTGGACCACTGGACAAAGGGGCCGCCTGATTTTGGGCTCTCGTGGCCAATGGGCTTGGTGCCTCCTGACTCAGGCCCTCCTGGACCAATGAATTTGGGGCCTCCTGACACTGGTCCTCCTGAGCCACTGGACTTAGGGGTCTCCAGGACCAATGGACTAAATGGGCCTCCTGACTCTGGCCTACCTGGATAAATGCACTTTGGACCTCTTGAATTCGGCCCTCTTGGACCACTGGACAAAGGGGCCGCATGATT